TATTATTATTATTATTATTATTATTATTGATATTCTGCTGGTAGTTATGAACATGAACGAACATCGACTTGACCATTGTATTGGAGAATGTTTTTAATTTATTTCTGGGAACTTATCTCCTACGGTTATTGCTGATCTCTCCTGGTTTAGAATCCCTTAAAGAACTTTTTACTTCCTGCATTCTTTCTGTTAATATTGAGTTATTCTTGTAGGCAAAAGATATTGCTAGAATGCAGAACAAATGGCTCGTGGTTAACATACAGTCCACCAGGGAATTCAGCTCGCACATGGTACTGTTTTAAACCTTGTCTCTCTCCCGCACGCACAGACATATCCTTCATTACTTGTTCTTATTTTAATCATATGTTACCCCACATCATCTGACTGTTTTGAAGCTCAACCGTGACACATGGGCAAATGAAGCTGTTGCTCAAACCATCAAAACCAACTTCATCTTCTGGCAGGTTTGTCTTATTATTCTGTTCCAAGCAATCCATTTGGGTCTTAGTGCAATTCACTTTTTATGGGCATGTCTAGTTGTACTTTTTTGTTTTGAAGATTATGACACTAGTATCTCTTTTTTGTGATGCTTAGTATGTACTATCAATCACATGTCACTAGATGGTCCCTTCATATGCATGCTGTACATTTGCTTGCACCAGCAAGACATAAAATCCACTCACCTTAAGATTTGCCCAGTGAAGTTGCATTCTGAACAGTGAATGTCAAGAATTAATTTTAAGTTGCTATTTAAATCTGTGTGAATATTGTATCAATCTTCATTTTCATGAGTGATGCAGCACCGACGTTATTCCTGCACGTTCTGCTTGCAGCCTGTGGGTTTTAGGGGTATTTGAGCCAAAGTTAATCTTCCTGCTTTCTCCTACCACCTCTATTTTATAAAGTTCAGCCATGTTTGATCACACCGAAAGGTCTGCTAGTTATCTGGATCAGTAACTTGAATATATTTGGAGAAATGGGACCCATCACTGTGGCATGATCAGAGATAAGTATTGGCTTGTTTTGATCCTTGGAAACTGGGCAAGAAAAATGTGGTAGAGCCAAAAATGGATTTTGGTATGTGCCAAGGATTTCATAATGAACTTAAGCAATAATGAAGAGTTAATTAGACAAGCCATTATATCTGAACGTAGCTGGTTCATTATTTCCCAATGTGCATTGTGTTTGGTGTTTTGAGATGATGAACAAATGCATTCACATTCAATTCTAACACTTTTAATGCCTTTGAATCAACATAATCATGATCTGTGAGTTATTTTTAAGATTAAGTTTCTGGCAATAATCTATAACTTAGACATTCATGTTAATGGTCTTAATAGCTAGCTTAAAGTAGCAAAAAACTGGCATTTTCCTACTTGGCCATTTTAATGGTCTTCTTCGGCATGCGACAAACTGCAAAGAGAAATTGAACATCATTATTGATCAAGAGTACTTGAGTAAATGGAAAATTGAACATCATTATTGATCAAGGGCACTTGAGTAAATGGAATATGATTCAGTAATATTATCTTTTTCATATATTTGAGCTGGGTGAATTTTGCTGGAACTAAATCTGTCAAGCTTCTCTAATTTATTGTCCGTTTGAGTTTATCTTATAGGAGGTCAATGATGGAATTTTATATTTGAGTACATTTTTCTGCTTATTAGATTTGTTCTCTTGTTGCATTGATTCTTAGCACTCCCCCCGTGTGCGTATAGGTAAATGATAATAAAGAAGAAGGCAGCAAGGTTTGTACCTATTACAAATTAGACTCTATGCCCGTGATTCTGATAATTGATCCAATAACGGGTCAGAAAATGCGCTCTTGGCTTGGAATGGTTCAACCAGAAAATCTTTTGGAGGTACATGAACCCCAAGCAGTTTATATAAATTCTTATTGACCAAAACAAGTTTAGGTCCTTCAAGGGCATTTGAAGCTTCTAATTTATGAACACTGAACTAGAATGTTCTATGGCTGACCCTAGCCTTTGTTGCTTCTGCAGGATCTTTTACCATTCATGGACAATTGCCCATCTGATCATCACGTCAGTCTGTCTCATAAACGTCCAAGAGGAAATTCTCAAGGACCACCTTCCAGTGTTCAAGTTATGCCTGGTAAGACACTGTTTTGGCATCATCATCTAAATCTGCTGCTGCTGGAAATATCTAATGATACTTACATAGCTTCAACATAATACCGAGGCAATAAATTTCAAATGGTATGAATTGGAAAATGCTTTAAAAGCTAGTAGACAATTAATTGTATGGCTAGATATGAGGAATAGTTTGGAGGGAAAGGCATGTCACTAATATATGTTAACCAATCCATTCTACTATCAGCATCTCACTGTTTTTAAAATGTTTTGTAGTGTGTTAAATACTAAAATATGAAAAATTTAACTACTGAATATCCTTGCTACATGGTTTGTGTCAACTTCTAA